CAGGAGCAAGTGAATGAGTAGATGTACATTAAGACCGTCTGAGGTGGCAGCCTATCCTTGCCTTCGCTTAAAATAAGTTTGGTAGAGAATGGTATGCGAACCCTTGCTGCTGGGAAGGTTCCCGAGACAGCTTGGTCAAGGCGTCTCCTTGGAAAGAGACTTTGAGGAACAAAGTTCTCTTTTCGGCGGTCAGTGTGGTTGGTTTTGCGGGTCGTTCGGCAAGGTTCTTTGCAATGAACCTGTCAGGATACCCGTTCTCGCGAAGCAAGTCCTGGATTTTTCTAAGTTCCTCCTCGATATTATCTGATGAACAAATTTCTCTAGCTTTTTGTGGTAAAAAGCTGACTAGGTTTTGTTTTCGTTAGAGACGTACGAAACTAGCGAAGTTCGTGTATTTTCCAGACCAGGTTTTCTTCCGATAGACGTCCCTTCGGATGCTACCGTCAAATCTCCTGTTTAGAAGGACATCTGAGAAAGGAAGCAAACCGGCCGATTCCATTTCCAACGTGAATTTGACCGACGGATGTGCTCGGTCTACAGTATTTAGGAGGGCAGCAACGTCGGTTTCTGTGGTTGCAATCGCAAAGATATCATCAACGTAGCGACCGTAATCTTTAAGGTTTTCGATCTGGTCGCCTAGTTGAAATCTCTGAAATGAATGTCCCAAACAGAGATTGGTCATCACGTCGTCTGCGAGCTGACCACGGCCCGTGGCCAGTGCTATTGTGGTCTAGTGCTATTGTTCTGTTAAAGTCCTGTGCAGAACACAACCTTTTCGTCATCAACACCATCTCGTGGCTTTGCAACCACGAGACAGCGGGTATGGTTCCTCGATCGCGTCAGTGCAGGATTAAGAGTTTGCCGGGAGGTAAGGTTGCTGCGATATGCTTTTGAAAAAGGTGGAATGCTGTATAGAATGCAGGACTACCCACATCAGCTGGTCTCCAAAGGGGGACTTTGTTCCGAGGATCAATGCGATTTTCGGAAAAATTGTGAAACCACCGATCTATCTTTTGCACTTTGTTGATCAAAGGACAAATGCCAGAATGGGAGGGTCAACCACCATATCATCCTCGTGGCTCCCACCAAGATACTCGACAATGTAAGCCAAGACGGCCTCTAAAAAGCAACGAGAAAATTTTAGCATTGTAGTGGTTAACGGTGATGAACAGGTGGCAATATGACGGCACGATCAGCAAAGTCGGGAAGAAAAGGTCAATATCGGACTCTTGCATGGTGGCTACCGACATGACACAGGGATGCGTTCTCACCCTAACCTGTGACAGCACTGGCCAGGCGCCAACATTAACGAAAACACTGACGAGAAGCAACTCAACATCCGCCACAAATAGGTCCTTTACAAATATTACCGAGCCTAAGATGCATGTCTTTCACTTTGCCGGTGACTGAGCATTTAACCACACAACCGCAACAGATATGCAGCAAAATCTGAATCCTTTCGTTTTTCGATGCGCAAAATTCAGACTCACTGGTAGCTCACAGAAACTGGTCGTCGTATGCCAACTATCGAGTATGCCGAATCCACGGGAATTGTCAGTTGCCATAGCCTCGCAGGGGTAGATTAATTCTCATACCTCGGTAACACCATTCCCAGAACACCAAAGCCAAAAATCAAATTTCAACGGGGATCTCAAAAGTCAACCAAACCCACGACAGGCTTCATATTTTCATATGGAATTAACATGGCATCCTTCTCAACAGGAAACGGGAGATGAACATCGTTGCCATCCTGGAAATGTCCCTAAATATTGCAGAGATTCGAATAGTTTATCAAAGCCTTGAGATTCAGCTAAGCCATCTCCAACTAGGCTGTGTTCGTAGGACATTAAAATTAAACGAGCAAGCATGGATCAAGGAACCCAAGCCCTAGATTTGGTCTGTTTAGTACACATGCTTGATTGGAACAGGTCTGACGGCGGTGATGTGCTCATATAATGATAGTTGACAAGCACCTGCCCAAAAGACTGCTCTACGGTGGCGCCACTGCAAGTGATCTCAAACAAGTGCGCAAAAGTAATCACTCTTTAGTAAACATCCTTTAGGTCTGATTTCAGCTCTTGAGGATCAACTAGGAGCCCACAGGATTGACAGGTTTGGCGCATTGGTGCACAAACTGTGGTAGCCATGTTGGGGCCAAATGAACAGTAGAGACATAGGTGAGACGACATGCCCGCTGTGCTCCTGCTGGCCGGTCCGCCTTGTCATCGTTGGGCCCACTTCAATGTCACGACTACCAGTCCGTCTCCATAGCCGCTAACAGCACCGCTGCAGACACCCATCCCACATCCCCTCACGGTAATACCACGCTGCAGTAGCGATTTGCCTTAGTCACATATTACTCATGTAATGGGTATGCTATGCATTTCGCCAGTGATGCTAAAACGGAAGAAGCATGAGTATGCTCGTATCTCTCTTTTGAGTTTTGAAGTCTAGTCACGTGGAGTGGACGGTCATCACATTCACGACAAGCTTTAATGAGAACTTTCGTACCATGCCAGCCACTGCACCCTCGGTCAAAAACAGATGGCTAAAAATTCAGAAAGGCATGAGTAAGGGGAGAGCTGATGAAATCGATAGAGGCGCCCCTCCCCTGAATCTGACGCGATTGAAAACACCGCGGAGGACTAACGGTCGTTATTTGAATGGCTGCTAAACGACGCTATGACACAGCCTCCCCTTGAAGCTAGGGTTGGGCCGCAATGGCCCCTCCTACTTTGGCCTCTATTGCACCCCTCACTTCCGCGCAGCTTGATACCCCTTTTACTGAAGCCTGGCGCACGCGGAGTTATGGACTAGGTACGTGTAGACAGGCCGTTCACAGCTCTGTCAACTACTGCACTCACGCCCGTTTCCGGTCGTCTTGACTTTCTCTTGCCAACTAATCGTGGTGGATGTGTTAAGAGAGACGTAGGTGCAGCGTATGTCTGTTTAGGTATAAACAAATTCACGCACACGCCATGGCTGCACCCGCCTTGTAGGGCAGTGGTGGTCCTTGTCACTTGCGTCAGTCGAACTACCGCAGTTAAGAACCACCAAAAACGTTCTCGCTGCTATAAATGCATTTCATTTCTACTTGCGAAGCGTGCAGTACAGGTGCTCCTTACATTTTGAGAAATGTACTCATTCCCGCCTAAAATATACACAGCGAGTTGGACTGTGTCTGGCTGTAACACCGCATCCACCAAAGGGTCTGCGCCGTAGATGCGTTGATGCAAAACAGGGCTCACACCGCTGCGGGTTTATCGGGCTACGCTGAGTCTGCGGAAGGCCCTGATTACTGTAGCACGTTGCAGACGGCGCCCCTGCAGGCACACCAGCCATCTCTACCTGGGACCAAATGGTGTGGCACAGGGGGGGGGGGGGGGGACGTCCACTCTTGTCAGTCACTGCACCCAATCCCACCACCAGTTGGTCGACAAGATCAGACCGCCAGCCGGCACAGGGGAAAAGAGTGAGGCCAAGACTGAAAAACACATTTTCGTGGCAGACCAGATATGAGGCTCCCGACGCTACCGGACGTGCCTCGGAGCGTTGTCGACTGGGAGGATAACTGGATTGCCATTGATTCTTAGTATGACCTCTGTAACACTCACTTCCGTGAGGTTCGAGACTCCTTTTCTGAAGCGCGGTAAGTGCGGGCGGGCTGTTTCGCTTTGTCAGTCACTACACCCAAAACCTCCCCAACCGACTTGGTCTTATCTTGCTATCGGCAGGTGGTGGGCACGGCAGATGCTGCGAAGTCAACTTAACTATGGACACATGCGAGCGCAAGTCACTGCGGTGGACCTCGTCACTTGCGTCGGTCGAACTGCCGGGTTTAATGCGTATTTTGCGAAAGTTGAACTCCCTTGAGCTAGTGGGTACTTGGTTAAAAAATCTAAGGAATGCTTGACCGGTCCCATACTTTCCCTCCATACCCCAGTGAACTGATGAGGCTGCTTTTTGTCCCGTTGCACTACAGCAAAGAGGGTCTGGTGGAAAGTTAAGCGATCCTGACTTGAGTTCTGACCATCAATGGCACAAATGCAAGAAATATCTGGTGCTCCTTCTTCGAACAGTACATGACAAACATCTCTCCTCTCTTGTCAATACACTGATGGTTGTAAAGGTTTCTTGAGGTGGTGTTTATGAGGTGCTAAAAAACCTATACTAGGAAGCCGCTTATTGGGTATTAACCAATAGCAATAGCGATGCAAAGAATGTGGTAAGAGCGTAAACAACTGCCTCACAGTTGGCAGAAATTACCAGTGTGGTAAACCCTCTTTCCCGATATATGTGCAACTCAACTTATGTGGCTTGAGGCTCTTCCACACGCTTGGTCAGCTCAACGCATTCCGGCTTTTCGGCCAAAATCGGCGTGGAACTGCCTATTGCAGCCTGTTGTTAACCCCGAGAAAAATGAATCGGACAGGTACTTCGGCTTGAAAAGTGTATGGGTAGCTCATTCGTGTACTCCTCAATTACTCAAAAACAACACTTCTAGGCATTTTAAAAGTATAGAATCGAGACTAAAGAAGCAGGACGTCAAAGTATTGTGGAATGGAAAGAAGGCTTTTACAAAAAACAATCGGTCCAAAAATCAGCCGGGGTAAGAGTGGCCAGCGGTGGTGACCCCACCCCCTTTGAAGTGTTCTTTGCTTGGCCCCGACCTTCGTAAACGGCAGAAAGCGGGTCGGGAACTGGGGACGGGACGTGTGTGGTGAGGGTAAATGCACACGGCAGAAAGGCGAGGCGCAAATCAAGTCAAAGTGGCAAAACGAAGGAAACAAATGAGAGACAGTCCCGGAAGTGGACAAGCAAGGAGAACATGATAATTAGTAATCGCAGCGGTATTTAGGAAGAACAAGAGAGAACAAAGGAAGGCGCTGAGGAGAAAAAATGCACTTAATCAAAATTGCCGGCAGGTAGCAAAGCGAGACTATGGCAGCTACATGGTGGAAACTTCGTGCCCTGGTAGGCATTGGCAAATGTGCTCATATTCACAGACAGGCGGTCATCGGGATAGCGGATTGGGTGAGGTCGTGGCAGGCGGTCGGTGTTCCATGTTGCTGTGGTTGCGGATTGGGATGCTGTTGTTGATTGTAGTGCTGCGACTGTGGCTGCAATGGCTGTTGGGGATGAGAAGGCTGTTTGAGGGGTTGGTGGTAATCAGGAATCGGTGGAAAAAAGTGGAAGTCCTGCCTTTCCCCGGCGCTGCTACAAACAGTACTACCGTCGCTGAGGGGCTGCAACGATGAGTAGGAGGAAGAGGAAACAACAGCAGCTGCTGATGGCAGCAGAGAGAAGGAAGTGGTCACGGAAGCAGAGGGGCAGGAGGATGAGTCGGTAGTGCTGCCCCAGTAGGACTGGCTGCTCGGCACAGTTGAGATGGAGGCGGGGGAGACTGAAGAGTGCCAAATGGTGGGACTAACGGTGGTAGTCGTGTGAGAGAGGGAAAGGACTGGAAGCAGATCCAGAGGTGTGGGCAAGGGCGCATTGCGGTCTACAGTAAATGAAAAAATGAATGCATACTTGGCATGCATGCTCTAGAGGGTACGAAACGAATTCTCCTGTGCTTTAGACGTACGAGTTAGTTTATTAAATTGAGTAGGATTAGCAGTAACGGGGCATGGACGACTGTAGGACTGAATACCGGCGTATTGTTTAGCCCTGGGGTTGCGACCTGGAGGGCCAACTTCAATGACTGACTGGCCCGCTGAATGAGGCAGTAACAGCCGAACTCCTCGCAGCTGCGCCAGGCAGCGGCACAAAATCATCGAAACACGTGTAGACCTTTAGCTACAACCCGTGCTGCGAGCGTAACAAATCAAACACTGTTTGTATGTCACTGCCTGTGGGCAGAATGTGAATATTACGCAATTACCCCGCAGAAGCTGATGGCTTTCGGCTCAAATATTCGTATCAAACTTAGAGCCGAACCTGATAAGGCTTGTGTCGAAGAATTTACTCCAAATTCACAAAATAATTCCTGATGAACTTAAATATACATGTTGCACATATATATACCCTGTAACAGATGCACTGCTGGTAGTTGCCACGCATGATAATGTAACATATGCGACGCCAACTAGGCTCAGTAGTGTACGCACCACATAGCTTGCCCGACCTCAGCCTAGTAAGTGGTTGCCTGTTCGTGACCCCTATCACCCATACGAAGTTTCTTTGTTTTGGGATGCCAACGGATCGGTGTGCGCCCATTCCTGAGTGAATAAATAACCGATCCGCAGCGACAGAGAATGGCAGGTGGCGAGGCACTAATGAACTTCGGTGCGATGAGGTGCTTACGACCCATCTGGTAGACACCGGTGAGCCAGCTGCGCCAGGTGTAGGCGCATGCTTGTGTTTCTGGTCTCACCTAGTGGTCAGGGTTATAATTGACTGAATGAAGGCGAACAAGCCCGAAACAATAGAAGTGAAGAGACGAGTCCCAGGAAGCAGTCGTGATGGAGACATGATCGCTGGGACAAGAGTTTTATTCGCCTGACGTTTCGGATTCCTGCCCGAACCCATTGCCAGAGACAATGGCAGATACGGATGGTTCATGCAAAAGGGGCTGCAGTATTTATAGGATGCAGTCGCCATGTAACCGCATACCTATGAAAATTCACGGCTCCTCCCTTCCTTCATCGGGGATTACCGTACCTGGTGTGATGACTGCTCGACCATCTGACCTACCGACCCTGGCGTTTGGAACAGTGTTCATCTGTGCGTTTCGCGCGTGGCTAATTACTGCGCCTAGGCGAAGTCTCAGCAGCGAGCATGAAGCGGGAAGATCGTTGCACATGCTAACAGACTGGGGAGGGAGTGAATCATGACTCAAGCAGCTCGCAGCTCACGCGGTTGTCATCTCTAACGAGAAGTTCGGCCTTGTCGAACTTGAATGTGTGGCCACAGCAGTACGGAGAAATGACGTCAGCTCTCAAGCTGCGGGTCACTAGACGAGATCCGGCCCGAAACAGTTCTGCATCGATCTACCCCTAGCAGTCACAGCCGTATAGGGCTGACCGGAGGTCAAGTACACGTGGATCTCTGTGAAGATGGAGACATCGCGTCAGGTCAGTTAACGCTTTCTAAGGGAAAGAAAACCCTGTCAGCAGCATATATCTTAGAGACGTCGGCTTCATTCTCCCAATCTAACAGCAACCTTGCTCGGCGGTTTTAAAGACTGTCCATTGACTTCAGTAATTATCACTTCAAAGAAATGAGACTCACTTTTGCAGGGAGATAGCAGTCCAGATCCAGCCACGTAGTTGCAATTTAAGACTGACAAATCTCGCCCAGCACCTGAAATCATGACCTCGGAGGCGGCAGACGGGCCACGACTGCCGGCGGCCGCTGTCCCCGCAGCTGTCTCCGCAGTGGCATGGGAGCCAAACATATTTGCGGCTGCGGCCGTAGCGGCGTAACTGAAGGCCCGGATCTCCTTTCCCTGAACATGGAGAAATGGTTTTTAACTCATGTTTCTGGTCATAAAGAAAACGGAGAGGTGGCCTGTTGGCCTGCCCTGCATAATGCGCGCAGTCTGGACTCCTGTAGTTTGGTTTTAAGGCTGGTGATATCTCCACAAATGTTTCACCGTAGATTCAACGTTTGGTTCTTTTATCTGAATGCTACGGCACAATACGATTCTGTCGTCATATACTAGTTCTGCATTCTGAAGAGTTGTCTTGACTGCTAGTCGAGAGTGACGCTGAAATAGCTCTTTAGGGCATCTAATGAATGAATCTTGGAAATTATACGCGATCCTCACATGACCGTAAAATGCGTGGATGGCACCGTGGCATCGAGTGATAAACAAGACTAATATTTTGCGTTGACTGGGCCGCCTCGGTAAACTACATATAGTTCGATTCAGTAGAAGAAACAGCGCGTGGGTGAAAAGCTTAGCCTAGTCAAACGGCACGGTCAGTCACCGTGATCAGATGGACGATAAAAGTGCCACCACTCGGGAAAATATCTGCCCAATTATCATCGGTACCAGGAAACTTGGGACCCTCTTGAGGATACATGTAACGAGAATGTTACTCCAGTTTGTAGGTGCTGTTTCTCTCCAAAGCCTGAATCAGAGGGTATGTATTCGATCAGTTGGCGTAGTCCGGCAGTGTCTACAGATCTCTAAAGGCAGTCATTCTGAGGTGTCTTGTTTTTCAGCTGTTTGATGTATCCGGATTCCCACACTAGGCGGCTGATTGTGGTCCTAACCTACATGTGGATGCCGTAGGCGTCCTCAAAAGGAACTGCTGCTGGAGGGGTTAGAAGTACCCAGTCCAAAAGTTGATAACATTATTCCCTATATTAGTTTCTGATCTAGGCAAGACGCGGTTGCTCCATCAGGCTCAGAGCCCATCGCTGGGACAAGTGGGATTTAGGTTTTCTTGGGAGCATGGTAACCTGAAGTGTGCGTGCAGGATGTGTAGGCGGCGGTTCACCCTGCAGGTGTACGATCACTTGCGGTGCCTCGATGCGGTTTGGCGGACGTCACATGATTTTACACTGGCGAGGATACGCTGTAACAGATGCACTGCAGGTAGTTGCCACGCATGATGATGTAACATATGCGACGCCAACTAGGCTCGGTAGTGTACGCACGACTACGGCGATAGCAAATACTGACGATCCTCTAAGTGCACCAATGGAGCTGGTGGATACATCTGCTTAACCCCGCCCTGGCACCTATCTCTCATCTATGGCTCCACAAAACCCTGCTCAGCACAGCAACCGCACCCTCGCGACAGCCTTCGACCGGCGGGGTAAGCGAGATGGGGATGACGGCCTGTAAGTATATCCACAAACAGTAGTCCCTGAACTGCAATCCCTGTCTTCGCCTCCCACACCCGAATGTAAAATCAAAAGGGCGACATCCAATCCCGTAGGCAGTCAAGGATAACTCGGGTCGTTTGCCTCCTAAACAAAGGTTGTGACCCCCGCTGGAGCCAGGCAGTTGAGAAGGATGACTAAGCAGCCCTACTTGGTATGTAAAAGGGTTACACAATGTACTCGAAAAATACTGTCAAACGGACCGTCGACAAACCGACTAGGGTTTAGTGACGCAAAATATGCGGTCTAAACACCATACAAAGCAACAGCCTCCGTCTCCGTGGCTCCCTACGGGCTACCAGTGACATTACTCACTCGGGCATTCTCGAATGTTCGTTCGCTCTTGGAGAACCTGCTGAAAACCTACCAGAATGGAAAGTTCTGGTCGCCCGCGAACGGCCGCCCTATAAAGTGGGCATTGCGTCAGGCCCTCAGTGAGACCCGCTTCTTCGAACAAGAACAACTGGGGAAGGTGGGTCCTGGATGCACAATCTTCTGAGGAGAACGTCCAAAGACAAGACGAGGAGACACCCGAGTTGTCTTTGTCGTCAGGTGCAACATCGTGTGACGGCAGTGCTGCCTATCGATGTGCTTCAATGGTCGTATTATGATCCCTGCGGCTGCCTCCTCACGGAAGCAAAGTTGCCAGCGTCGTAAGTGTCCACGGTCACCGCAATGACTTGCCTTGACGACGTGAAAAATACGTTCTACGAAGAATTGCACGTCCTCATAGCGACTGCGCCAAAGCCGGACAGATTGTCCTCGATGATTTTACTTGTCGCGTCGGCAAAGACCACACTATTTGAGTGGGTGCTCGATCGCCACGGGAGTGGCAGCTGCAACAGCAATGTCCTTCACATTTTGCAGGTCTCCACGGTACACAGTTTCCTCCTGCCCAACACCTTCCGCCTCCCGGTACGAGAGGATAGGAGACAGATGCAATCTCGTTCGACTCACTGACAGGTGTTTGACTACATCCTCTTTCGGAGGTGTGCTGGTAACCAAGGTTATCTAAGGTGCCAAATGTTGGATGAATAGCTACTTTGTCAACTCCCAGATGACGCTGCAACTACAAACCGCAGGCGTCCGGGGGAAAGCCAACAACAGGTACGTCAAATACAGATTTGCTGAATACGGCTGAGCGCCGACTCACTATTAGCGACTGCGCAAATTCCCAATCCGGAACAAGTGCATGCCTTGGAGGTTAATGCTAGCGTCCAGACCCGGTCGAGAGGGCTGCAGGATGCTATTCAGGTCACTACTACGAAGGCCCACAGCCACGCACGTCAACAGCGCCAGGACTGGCTCGGTGACAGTGACGAGGAGATCAGCATATTTTTTCCGATAAACACAACCCACACGTTACCTACATCACCAACGGCAACAAAGCCCCATAATTCTGATTTCGAAAATTGGTGCAGCTGGGACTGATGGAGAGTCCAGAACGGTTGGCTGCTTCGCCTACCACGATATGAAGAATTTCTTCGAAGTGCTCAGGGCAGTGTACGGTTCCCAAACCATTGAGACTGTGTCATTGTTCAGCCAGGACGGAGTAACCCTACAGTTGGAGAGATTGCAGATTTTAGGGCGCTGGGCCGGACACTTCCAGGATGTCTTCAGGCACCCGTCAACACTGCGCGGGCACCATCAAACGGATTCCTCAAGTGGAAACAAATGATCTATACCGTCCGCCTGCGCCACTAGTGACAATAAGAGCTGTGTAACAGCTGTCCAGCAGTAAAACACGGACAACCGGCGTAATACCGGAAAAACATTAGAGGTACGGCGCCCCAAGGTTATGGAAAGCTTTATTTACTGCTTCGGATAGAGCTACAAGGACAAAGCACTCAGAACTTTAAGAATGTTACCATCGTGTACGCGTACAGGAGGAAGTTCAAGCGACAAGTATCTGATAACAGAAGCATTTCCCTTAACATCCAGACATTTTGACACTGTATGAGTCTTTCTAGTCATATGCACATACACGAGTTTGATTTACCGCAATATAACCCCGACCAAACCAACCTCCCTCAGCAGGAACCTCTCTAGCATCAGCACTAATATTGCCACCAACATCAACAACGTAGCCAGGACTGTCAGCTCTGCAGTGCCATCCACTCCCAATTGTCACCATTCATTTGAATCACGCGGTCGCACAGTCGATCACTTGTGAATCCATCGAACTGAGTCAACAAACCACTGACAGGAGCCCCAACATACACTCATCACCCCGGTATAACCTGACCGCGCGGTCCCAGGACATTCAGCCAACGCATGGGCCCATTCGGCTGTACTTTCTACGCCAAAATCCTTAGTCAAACCACATAGCCTAGACCCTACCACAACACCTCACCCTACCTGCACACGACACTCGGACCACGCGCGGGCGCTTCGATTGGTGTAGAGAACAGCACCAGGGGGAAGTAGTTTTCAGAAGTACAACCGCTCTCTACACAAACTAGCTGCTAGGAAACAGACTATTATGGTCATGGACTGGATGACATGCTGGCCGCATTTCAATCCAACAAGCGAGTTAGAGGAGCATACGACAGGACGTGCACTTACGAGTCGGGAACCGGAAATCTTGGGGCGGCGAGCGGAGGTCACAGTACTGCGCTGGCTGGTGAATAGCATGCAGATGTAGTGTGCGGGAATGTCACAGAAAAGTGGTGATCACCTAACGAGCTACCAACGACCTTAGTGTTCCGATTTTTCTGAAGGGTCATGTGTTCCGCTTTCCCACACCACATGAAAAATTTTTATACCGCTTAATTAACCTTTACCATGGTGCATGTATCTGTCCTTTGCAATAATATAAGAACTAAGGCCTCAACATTGGAACATTGCTAAGGAAAAGAGGATCCATATACTTCTGGGACGCTCTGTGCACAGACTGTTTAGCTTCTCACCTTCATTGAGAGATGTCTCGAACAGAAGCCCCGACGTTGCGACTCTTTGGTACAACCATCCCGGCTGCACAAACGACGCCACTGTTTGCCGTTGAACTTCTTGCGGACACCGCTCGGAGTTTTGACCACATCACCCTACAAAGCAGAGACGGGGACAGGACAAAATGGGGCTTGTAAATTACTTGTGGATGAGTGCACATGTTTGCATATGAAGGTGTGTTTGCCTGTTTGGGGTGTGTGGGTATCCAGGAGGAGGCAGACCTTTTGGTGAGTTGACAGCCGCAGCGGACTCCTAGCTGTACCAGGTGATTATAATCTGAACCCACAAGGCTGCATTTGAAGGTGCTGAACACAATGGCCACACCCTGCCAATAGCTTCGGCTGAAATGCCAAACCATGGGTGTGATTGTGATAAAAACGATGCACGGTGCTGATTGCGGGATTGGCTATCGCCTATCCACCTATAAGAGGAAACGCCCGAGGCATCCTCTGGGAAGACTTTAAGGCGACTAAAAGTAGCACTTCTGGGACTGTATACAAACAACATTTGGCTTCTGGGCTGGAAAACGAACGAAAAATTACGCATCCAGATGAAGACGATCATCTTAGAAACAATTGACGAACTCGGAGGTGCGATGTGCACCACCGACACAGGAATTTTCCCAAGCACACGTCAGTGGTGCCGGGACCGGCACAATTATAACAGCGAAAAGATTCAGCGCCTGCTGCCCGAGAAGAACCCGCCACACCGAACCTCAGCATCCAACTGAATTGCCCAATGTCGTAGTGCTGATAACGTTCCTCATGGACCGTCTGTGAAAGCCGTGGTTAGGGGCTCGTGTAGATTCATTTCAGATGTCTGAAGAACGATATGTACAGTAGATGTGCTAACTCATGAAATGTCAACCAAAATTTCGAAATGCGTTCTCGTTTCGAAAAGATAAATTAAGTAGTGTTGTAAAACTAATCGTAGTGCAGCATAAATCTATAATGATCCAGTTACCTCAGGGTGTCGGCTTTCGAAAGAACTTATTTGCGGCTGCATGCAAGATCTATACTCTGCAAAAAATGACTACCTAAGTAGCATGCAATTTTCTCATTGATTTTCGATGCCCTTGAAAATTCAATCATATTTCATGGAAGACATGCATAAAAATATTCATTCTTTTACCTATTCGGTAGAAAATCACGTCTTCTTCCAATTTCATACTCAAAAGAAGAGTATAATTCCGGTTTTAAAAAAGTTTCTAATTGTGAGATTTTTTAATACCGTTAAATGGCCGTTCATGAAACGTCATGTATCTGCATTTACGAAGGTGGCTTGTAAAGTTAACAATATTGCTCAAATCGACTGCCTAATTTTATGAACCTCACATGGTCTCCTCTTAACACCGTAGAGAAATGCATGGTTTTCCGTACACGGAAAATATACAGCTTGTAGTTTTGAAACCCTGAATGCAAGTGTAACAGCAGGTCGGGTTCAAAATTATTCGGGAATTAGAAAAGTTTTTTAAAACCGAATTATACTCTTCTTCTGAGTATTTTCTACCGAATACGTAAAAGAATGAATATTTTTATGCATGTTTTCCATGAAATATAATTGAACTTTCAAGGGCATCGAAAATCAATGAGTAAATTGCACACTACTTAGGTAGTCAGTTTTTGCAGAGTATAGATCTTGCATGCAGCCGAAAATAAGTTCTTTCGAAAGCCGACACCCTGAGGTAACTGGATCATTATAGATTTATGCTGCACTACGATTAGTTTTACAACACTACTTAATTTATCTTTTCGAAACGAGAACGCATATCGAAATTTTGGTTGACATTTCATGAGTTAGCACATCTACTGTATGAGGTGAAAGAAGTGGATGCCGGAAACACAGATCTTCGAACCGACTGGTATCTCTGCATGGTCGAAGCAGACCAAACTTCTATACGATGGCCATTGTAGGAGAACGACCGGAAGGAATGTCCAATAACGGCGTTACTACAAGCGCTCGTCGACCAGGATAGGAAAAAGAGTACAAGGGCGTCCCAGAAACTGCATTCAAATATCTCGGCTTAAACCAAGACTACAGGCATTGTGATATGACATAGGAAGAGGAATGTCTGTCAATGAGAAATGACAGTAACAAGCTTGGAGTGGCGCGGAACGTTATTAATATTTTACACCTACCAATACTTCCTCGTCACAAACCCACATTGGGGCCAGGATTGGCCGTGTTAGACAGCGTCGCATTGACCGCAAAAACGACAGCGCAAAACCGGCAAAAACGAAACTATCAATGCTGGACTGCCTCCTCCCCAAAAGCCCAAAAATTGGCGAATATTCCGAGTCCTGTTAGTGATGGTAGGACAAACCTGCGTCCACCTCAATGCAACTAACTACCCCCATGGCTCAGTTTGGCCACCCCAGTTCGCCACACTTCAGTCCACTCCTACAGTCAACACACCTTTTGGACTCGGGGTAGAATCGGCAAACATCGCCAAGCATAAGGCAACCCCGACCCCTAAAACACCCAACTCATAAATAAATCTGATAAAGAAAACGCTCGTACAGTACGATGGGCGAATCATCGTGTGTCTCTGTGCGCTAAAGGACTGAGACATGAAGGTAAAAGACAATGAATAATAAACAATTAACAAGTTCCGCGGTCGAAATGTTTACATTCAGCAGGAAACCATGATACGACCTTTCGTCATGGGTGCTTAGTATGTGTGATTGCACCTGCGCTTACGTACTGGGCTTGATAAACTTCCTTGATGTAGGGAATCCGTGTGGTTATTCTCAGTGGATGGTTGAACGCTCGCATTTACGTAACAGGTCAAATTCGCGCTACCGATAAGACTAAACACCGGGTGGTTGATCAACATAAGCACGCACAATTCGTGTGTCTTCGTGTTTATGTCCAAGTTCGCGTGATAATTTGTGTCCGTTTTCGTACGAAAGCGCTCCCGGGAGAATTGGGCGCTCGCTGCTATGATTGGTTTATCGGTTAAGGGTTGGTGTGTTAAAATAAGCCACAGCTGGAGTACACCAGGCCAGTGGAGGTAAACAACAAGTTTCGAAGTCGAAGGCAGGCAGATTAAATATTCATAACGACACAACCCAGTACCACAAAGACCATCAATTTGGCAACCATTTTGGTAAACATTAGCCAGTGAATGCAGGATGCTGCAACATCGGACAGTCTTGCAACGTACGTAGAGGGATGGATGGTAAATGTGGAATGGAATAGGTGGACTTGCGAAACATTAAAAGGTCATGCGTCTAGAAGAAAGTGAGGTATTCTCATAAGGGACCTCTGCAAGTAGAGGAGATGAAACCAACGCTATGGCGTCTTCACGCAGTGGCGCAGCAAGATGCCAAACATATAACTAAGACCACTTGACTTGGTGGCTTTGTCGGACACTGCCATCACTGTACTGAAGAAGAAGTTTTTACTAAGGGAGTAATAGGGAAATTTACACCTGTTGAACCACATCGTTAACTGGTTAATCACGTGGAATTTTCAATAAAACCCAGATTTGGAAAGAACGGATGACAGATAACTGTCCAGAGTCCTGATATTAAACACTAATTTTCCATGCAGAACAAGCACAAAGGTTAATCCGTGTGACTCATGTCTCGGTTGAGGAAAAATCGGTGGTAGAAGACCGTAGTACAGGGCAGTCATCCTCAAGAAATCCATGCAGTAACTGCCTATCCTGCAGTGATATACAAGTCTCGGGTGCGGGTTGACCAGGAGTCGCCGCAAAAAGTCAGGAAAACTGGCGACTGAAGTGAGATAGAAAGCATCGAGTTAGGTCGACCATGGAATATCATAGCATTACGATAAATAGCTAACTAGAGACCAGCATTCTCTTTGGTCATGCTAAAAACAACATAATTTGTGAGATAGGGGCCGGAGGGATTTCTCGCCTGTTGGCTGGTTTGTCGCAGAGGAAAGTGGACCGTATTTATAGGATGTAGTTGTTAGGCCGCTACATGTCCATCACAGTTGGCAGCTCGCGAGTGCATCACAGTTCGACAGGCCAGATGTTGAAGTATGGGGTTGCTATGATCCTGTGTGCCGGTCAAGATTATCGACTCTCACGCTCATCGCAAGCAGTCGAGTTGCTGACTAAAATCGTGTCTCCTTCTTCGCAAAAGTGGACCGTTTCAAGCAAAATTGTTGAAATGACCAAAAATGACCTGGCCAGTTTTTTCTCAATTAATGACTGTCGATGGGAACCATGTACATTTCGAAATGGAAGAGGGCTCGAGGAAACAGACGCAAACGTAGTCCTCTCCCATACAAATCACAGCCCCATGAACCTGCTTGCAAAGGTAGTTCGTCGCATACTAGGATCAGCGTAAGGTGATCCAAACAAGTTAACTTTCGAAGGGTTTCAGCTTCACAAAATATTAGGAGAATCTTCCCAGCGGGTTGCGTAGAACTGTAATAAAGCTCGAATAAAGAACGCTAGCCAAGGGTGCCATGTTATCCTAACTGAATTCCCCGATATGTCCCGTGTGCCACCGCGACAAAGGCCGATGAACGTGGTTTCGGTATTTGGCTGCACTCGCCCTATCTGTCTAAGCGTGCATCTTCTTAGTTATTGGTCCTTCTCGTGTTTAAAGGAGCACCTTTTTGATGTTAGCAGTCATTTTTGAGGCATGATTGGAAGCAATTCAACCTGAGACGTTCTAAGTGGCGACATATCCGGCGCTTGCTAAAAACATATTCTCACGCAACATTCTTAAATGCACACTTTCGTAGAGCAATGGAATTCGAGTGTTTAAGGGCCTTTGGTAAAAATGGCTTGATGAGAATAATGAAATATTTGATACATCACAGACATGGTAATGGAGCACTAATTGCAAAATTCTAAGGAAGAGCTCAGGGTGAGTCGCGAAATATTCGTTTCCAATACGCAGGAAACTTATTTGTTTCTTGGATAAGTCCCATAACGGCGGCATATAAAAAGGTTCACTGCTGCTTGGCTCCTGTCCCCAAGCATCGAGTTATTTCGTTAATTGTTGTGATCGCTTCAAGCATCTCAGTTTCACTATGCTGAGGGAGGAGCTGCACTGTAATGATGAAGAGTACCTCAGTGCTGATCTCAATAGTTCTTCCCTCTTCCTTTCATAGGCAGTCTGCTCGAATCAGTGGGTCTACTGGTTATGAGATTGAGCGCGATGGCCGATATGACAATTCCCCAATTAGCGCGCGCACTACAACAGTTAAGAGCACAGCCACGCTCGAAGTGGCCCGATGAATGCAATAAGACAATGTGGCTCGTTTTGGACAAGTGTCAACGCAAAGAGTCCAGAGAGGCAAGCATAACAGTTCGATCGGCAAAGACAAGAAGGTCCATCATTACCCCTTAGTGGGCGTAATTATCAATTGCATGTGAATTTGTTTATACCTAGGCGGACATACGCTGCATCTACCTCGCCTTTACCTTATCTACCACATTCCGATGGCAAAGCAAACCAGGGACGACTGAAAACTGACATTGACACAATGGCTGACAGAGTTAAGGGGCATGGTTAAAAACACCACAAACGCCCTGGTCCATAATTCCCCATGCGCCAGGCTTCAGTAAAAGGGTATCAGACTGCACAGAGACGAGAAGTGTCAAAGTGCATCTTATAACGGACTCATTGCTGACTGGACCTCGTTTTACAGGAGGACTAGGTTATCGCGTCAGTTGGCAACCATTCAAGAAACGACTGTTAATGAATCGTGGTAGTTTTCATGCGTGTTTTGTTGTTTATGAGAGACAGGCGTTGGACCCGATTTAGATTGACCTGTCTCTTCCCACAGTCATGTCCCACTAGGTCGTCCGAAACCAATTGACTGAGGATGAGATCGGGAGCAGTGGCTAAAGTAGCGAATTGCCATCTAATGAGTGCTAAATGGGTTCTTGTCGCACAGAAATGAGTGTCTTAAAGGTCATACTCAGAAGGTACCATTTGTTTTGGCGAAGGGTTAGTAAATTTACCATGTGGAAAGGTAAACCATAGTCAGCCCCACCTCTTCCCTGACGCATGTACGAGTATCCCGTCTGAATTTGTCGCCTGACAGATTATGGGATGGGGTGTGAGAGCTTGCGTGGTGTCAAACTTCGTCTAATGCGTGCAACGCGCATGTACAGAAATACTTAAGGACTCAAACAGACAAGAGTGGTTGATGGGTTAACATACATCCATACACACCTACCATGCAAAATAATGCAATAAGTTTGTCTTTCAGCGGACCGGCAAAGTCATTGCAATTAATTTTATTACTGTTAACACTGAGCAGGCTGCTATATTCGGGCAAAGTTCGAACTTAAAAGTGTTTTACAGTCTAGTCCCGAAGACCGGAAAGCGGGAGGGATGGGACCTAATGAAAAACTTAGGAGCTGTGAGTGCTTTCTATAATTACTCGAAGGCACTGAAACTCCTGATTATAAGGAGTAGAAAAAATCTGGAAGTTAAACAAACAGATTGCAGTTGGGCAAACTTTCCGAATAACCTAAAAGCTACCAATTATGGACCTTGCACTAAAAGAGATTTTAATTTCTTGAACGATGTTCTGGTGTTAAATTTCTTACATTTGGACATAAACATAACAAGTCCCCAGAGTGCTAAGATTATATTAAGTTTTCTCACTGCATCCAGTAAAAGCCTACATTCTGTCGAGACATAGTTCGCACTCGGGTCACTCACTCGAGGGAATTTGAAAAAGGTTCCTCTTTTTAATAACATCATGTCGAGTGATAGGCCAAAGATCAAAGAGGAAGTTAAAAGAGGCAGTTTTTTCAACGGCTACCTTTGAGAATTTCTGCTCCGTAGCAAATGGATTGAGCGCTGGCGGTGGGCCGACTGACGCCGGGATTTGAGGAGAGTTGGAGACATCTGCAGACAAATATGGTCGACCATAAGTATTTGTATACGAATGAGTGAGTTGTATGCAGTCGAACAGTGGAAATATGTGCAAACAAATCCACAACAGTTAAGTTAGCACACGCAGGGCAGTTGAGGGAAATGGATGGTCTTCGCTGTTGAAAGTGGAGGTTTTCAAACTATACACGTGAGAATGCTAGTCGACATGTGCTGGGCAATGTGCACGAATTTGTAATTTTCCCCTGGGCAAGCCAGGGGATGCTGATCCAAAAATTCTCTCCGCAAGATATAGAGGACGCACTGCGGAAGCTGGGGAAAATTACGTGACCGGGATCAACAACTGATCCCGAGTTCGTGTTGACAGCAGTCTAATCCGTTAACGAGTCAAGCATGCCGAATTAGAACGCGAAGTAAGCCATACGTGTTCATGAGAAAGACTCAACCGCAGAGATATCCCCAAAGTTCCATGTCAGGCAGCTGGAGTCCAGTGTGGTGATTGAAGATTGTTTCGAACCAAGGAAAAACTCAAGAACAATCACAATCTCCAACATCTCTTCGAATATAACTTAGGAAAAGTGGTTTCGTGCTAATGCATACCGACGGGAGTGAAGAAGCTCAGGTGACAAAACTTTCGAAAACCAAAAGTACGAATTTTAGGTTAGGTCAGTGGGGTAGGATTTCATGAACCATGGGGTACGTCATTAAAATTAACGAATGTATACGCATTAGTGTCAGTTTGGGCCGACAGTACAAGAACTAGAACCTTAAAAGCATATGTATGCATGGCATTATATGCACGTATGCACGTACGTATGCACGTGACATCATCGACGACAGTGAAAGAGGGGTTAAGCCAAGGTCCCAGCGAGTATAAATTGCGTGAAAACCAAAGCATAATATGCACCAAATTACATATCCTGAAATACGTTAACAAGCAAGAACATTACGCAGATTTGGTTGAAAAACCTATTAGAAACAATCATGTAAAGCAGATAATGAACTTAATATGACTAAATGTATAATAACACCGAATAACACAAACAGGCTAACATATGAATTCACCTTTGTTGAAATCACAATAATGTTGTCCTAAGGCTTCTGCTTGTAAGTTCACAACTGATGTCGTAAACGAAAAGGGCGACTCCCGAGAACCGAATTCTGTCTCACAATAAGGCGGAAGAGATGGCAACATTGTCGTAGACTGTGAAGCCGGGACCGCCTGGCAATCGATCAACGGTGGTGGTTTTATATCCTCCATTGCCGAGCTACGGGACATAGACAGTATGGGAGCCGTGTAAAAAAAATGGCCGTTTTAGAGCCTCTAAATAGAATATAGTCATAACACTGAAAGATGTTCTCCGAAGTGGTTTAGTCGCTCACAGACGTCTGCTGGCAACTATCGTTGGCATGGGTCTACAGAATGAAAATCATAGCTTATATGCGGGAACCCTGGTAAACTAAGCAAACGGAGGGCGCGTGTATACACGCGGTGTGGAAAACGATAGTTGGGGTTATAATTAAAATTTTGGTACTAAATTATAATAGTAGCCGTTCCTAAACGAAATAAGGCTTCTTTCATCACGAATGTGAATACGTTAACACTCAGACCGCGACGCGTCGCGGTGTCCCGAAAAATGTACACGCCTGTTGGCATCTTTACATACGAAACGGTGCTGGCATGCTACTAATGAACTATTTCGATAATGGGCGATATTGGATACTACAGGTAAAAAGCGAAATAGGTGTGAAAACGCACTGTTTCTTAAATCGCCTTACACGGACGGAGATCTTACTCCCTGGAGCGTCAAACTAAACACTTCAAATCCAGCGCCACTTATCCCGCTTCCCTTCAGTCATGGTGTAAGACCTGGAAAAGCAGGTTTGTTTAAAAGGGACAGAAAAAGTGGCAATTGGGGAAAAGATACTGAAGACGTAGTGACGACAATTGAGCGTGCTCTTTCTTCTTTAATGTTTTGCAGCCGAGATGATTAATTGTGTAGAGACACGAAGCGGGAAGCAGTGAATATCGGCCCCCTATACTGCAACGCTAATCTCCGAATGTTTACTATTTCCTCCTGGTTCTCCGAACCTATGAGCGTTCGCTAACGCTTCCTGTTTCCCTCCCTCCATCTCTACTTATTCATTACCATATCGTTTACATTCTAGACTCTCTTTTGTTACATAGGATATACCTGCCTGTTTGAGTTAGTGCTTGCCCGTGTGATGCCGAGATCAAAAACCAACCGTTCAGAAAAGAGGAAACCAACCCTTGCTCTACCCGATTTCATTAAGACGATGGGAGTTGACTCAAGGTGGATTCCCGAACTGAGCAACAGGACGGTCCGCCTACTACAATGGATTCTGCTGTACATTGCGTTTACGTTCAGTATACTTGATTGGATCTGTTGTTCATTCGCCCCATTTCACGACACCAAGGCAGAGGCGTGACACATGACCTTACAGGGACTTAGATCTGCGTTGTTCTCCATACTCGGTGATTAGCGGATGTGCCGATAACATTTTTAGCTGAGTCTGCTGGCGTAAGTGTCTCCTGCTTCAGTTGACTAACGGCAGATAAAATATTCCAGGACATTCACAAAAATATTACGATGTTGCGTTTATTCGGACTGTCGAATTTGAGACTGCCGGTTCTGTTATATATTGCCTTACCCTGGAGTCGAACAATAATACTGAGCAAGGTCGTGAAATGGAATGATAGGCGAGAACCTTCAAATGGGCTGTTAGGCGACTGAGTCGTGTGAGACAGCTGAAAGTTAAACAAGGGCTCAAAAGGTTCCTCAAACCAACATCCTTAGACCGGAAACTAAACTGATCATTGAAGAATGCCAAGAAATACTACGACCGACAAGCGACGAATATCCTTCTAATGATGGCACAGTCGTGAAAAACACGAAGTCAATCTGGAAGAGGAAGCAAGTTATATCTCCGGAGGAAAATCCAGACAAACCTTTTCCGCAGGATAACGAGGCATTCGACCCTAGCGCAAAAGAACTTAGTCCAGTTTCATTACTTGCAATGGTAACTTAACCTACCAAATAATCGAACGCTATAGATGGAAAAGACATGGTTAACTTCAAAAGATCTATTAGAAAACACAGTAGGGGTTCGCCGTTATTTTTTTGAAAGGGGGGGTGGGCGAAGGGTACGCTGTCACTCCACTTCATCACGAGGCAAACTCATCTGGAACGTGCCTTAAAGACTCCGTTTACGGAAGAGGACATGACAACTCTTCGTATAGTTCATTTCAGCAAAGCAATAAATGTGGAAATTCCCATGTAGAAGCCAGTACGTCATACGAAAATTTAGGTCTTACATCTCCAGCGTCGAACGAAAATGCGCCTCTCAAATTTACTAGGACACTTGATCTTAACAGTAAATATGAGTCAATCCTAGAAGCACAACCGACCTCCAGCACTCAGGATAATGAATAAGTTAATAAACCTGAATCGTATTTATCCCGTTCCCGAGCACGGCCACTCACGTTTGACTTAGCGGTTAGGGAAAATAAGACAGATGATAGTTCTGGTAGATCCTAACCTATTACTATCCCGAATTCTCAACTTTACGTAAACACCCCAGTTGTGAAGCCCACTAACAAACCAGCCTGCAAAATGCAAGTTTCGCCAGGATCGTGTCGAAGGACGCGGCGGTGGTTGCCTTCCTTGTAGAGGACGTACTGACTCTGTTGTTTTAATGTGCCCTTGCTATGATCTTCCTGTACAATTTGACTGATTGAAGTTCTGAACGGTTTTGTTTTAGTGACCGCCGTCGAAGAGTGTGAGGGGGCCCGTCGAGAGACCGCCCGTAAAGTGGAGGACGAAGAGAAGACGGAACGGGATTAAATTTCCTCTGTTGATATATTCCCTTTAATAAACTTTATCCACCGACGATCCATTCTATCCGTGCACGCTTGCCCTTGCAGACGATGGACTTAATTCACTCTGATTCCCAGGGTTCCCGCCGAGGAGGCACTCGTTCGGATAAGAACACCAAGGAAGCCAGCACGGACTGCCGCCTAGAAGGAGAAGAAGACAAGACCATACCCTTGAGTGGATCGAGTATTACATCTTTGCATCCGAGTCTCGCCTGCACGGTCGCCTTGTGACCTGGACATCTACTCCTTCTCCGGAAATTTATGCTTCGCTTAGGTAATACTTCTGCAACATAGGAAAGCCTTAGTCGGATGTGAATATAATAATCCTTGTTACTCCGGAAATGAAAGCCAACTCTGTGAACTCTGAAAAATTGCAGGGACTCCTTTCGATGTCAAGATTATCGTAGGAGATTTTAATTTTCCAGAAATCGACTGGCACACACACACATCTCCTAAATTCCAAAAGCTTCGGACACCATTCACTTCTTAAACTTGTTTCAATTTGTCCACTCTTCGACCAGAAACGTTAGTGCATTAGTTTTAATTTTTTTAATCGCATCTTCCCTCTATCTATGCATTTCCATTATGGCCTTTTTGCAGGTGATCATGCACTAATTCATTGTTGACTTCCAATTGTCTTTTTCGCAAGGCCAACAGTACAATGTATCATGTTGACTTTGCTAATATCAACAAGGACTTATTAAGTAATTTTACAGATACCCTTGATTGGCACAATATTTTTTTCAAAAAATGATGTAACTTTTTTCAACAGTTTATTACAGTGCGTAACAGAAGGTCTTCTCGACCTGATTCCAAGGAAGACGTTCAAATCGAGGGCCACTTCCACCGCTGTCCCACACGTTCTTAAAAACAGGCTTGAAAAAGCTACGAAAGCCGCTTAAAGATCCTTCTGTGGGCTCATTATCAGTTCATCTAGGAATCGCTGAAATATTTGAATTAGTTTCAAAAATAAAGCTAGCGCGAGATAGGCGTAGAGAATCTTTGGCTATTAATGACGTGAATGCTTCTAAATAAGTTGCTCAGATCTTCCGTCAAAGATCATCTGCTAAGTCCCACCAAGTCATTCCGTCTTTGCTAAGTATCAACGATACTATCATTACAGAGGAGTCAGGCAAAGCAGAAATGTCAAATTCATTCTTTGTCATACATTTCACCCTTGAAACTGACTAAATCCCTTTAATTCATCCGTTGTCTGATGCCTCTCTCAGCATCATTAATTTTTCTCCTGTTACTATTCAAACTGATAAACCATCTTCCTAACTATCACTCAGTAGGTACGGACAATATCACAAACTCTCTTTTCCGGGAGTTCTGCTTAGTGGACGCTCTGCGGGCCTATTTGGATTCAGAAATTGAAGCGTAATCAGCAATTCCTCGAACGATCGGCACGGAACTCCGACAGAACTTTCTTTCGGACGACCATACTCCTTCGTATCAATTCTCTGCCAACAGCACCGAGGGGCTTTCCAGATCCAAAAGCGGATGAGTCGTTTGCCATTTACTTCATATTATTCGCTTGGTTAAAAAGCTTCTCCCACACCTTTAAATAGAATACAATAGAATGGGTTTATTGTAGCGCCCCCTGGTCACTGTCAGTCTCCTTGGAACTCAGGAAAAAACCTAAAACAAACTCATGAATTTCAACTGCACTTTGACTTCATTTTTCAGTTCAGTTCAGTTCAGTTTATTGAGAGAAATAGGCGTAAGCCTTTAAGTACCCTATTTGCAACGTAAAAATGTGTGGTGTACAGATAGATGTTCTGGGCTGAAATGGTTCAAACACGCCCATAATGGTGGGGACAAAATGAGAAGGAGTTACAGGGCGTGAGCTCGACTTCTCATCGCTCTTGGTCATTTCGGAACATATATATGTCCAGATTCTTCTTAAATCTTTGTATATATGGTGACATCGCAACATCTGCGGGAAGCTCATTCCATGGTTTGACCACCCGAACCGAGAAGGAGCACTTCCGCCCATCCAGCCGTGCCTGCTGAGTGCGCAGTTTTAACGGGTGACCTCGGAGGTTGGTCGTGGTAGCAAATTCAAAAAAGTCCTCGAAGGCCAGACTGCAATCCAACCCCTTAACAATGCGGAAGGCTTGCAAGAGATCCCCGCGAAGTTGCCTGTAACTCAAAGGAACGAGATTCAGATTTACTAGGCGGTTGCATAAGGAAAGGAGCTTTGACCCCTAACCATCTTCGTGGCTCTCCTCTGGACACTTTCAAGGCAGTTTTGATCCTCAACAGCCCACGGCCTCCAAGCTTGTACGCCGTACTCTTAATGCGGCCGGACGAATGTTCCGAATGTCTTAAAGAAAGCTTCTTCGTCAAAGTCCATAAACGCACGCTTGATGGCGTACAGTGCGGACATTGCGCTTTTCGCCACCCTCGAACAGTGGGCGGATGGTTTTAGGGAACTCGTCGTCAGCACACCGAGGTCCCTTTGGGCTTCGAACTCTTGTAGGGCTGCACCGCCCAGAAAGTAGCCTCTTGTGTTGGCGGATCTGGCTGTGTTGCCTAGGCGAATTATGCTACATTTGGCAACGTTGAACCGCAGGAGCCAATGGTTTGACCACTCCTCCAACCGATTCAGGTTCATCTGCAGTCTTTCTTCGTCGGCAGGACTCCGAATTGCACTCCATTTCTTCATGCCATCCGTAAACATTGCTACTTCGCAGTCTAAATCTCTTGCGGCATCGTCCACGTAGATAAGGAACGAAATGGGTCCCAGTACTGAACCCTGGCGGACACCACTCTCGACCATAGCCGGATCTGATTTTCCCCGACCGACGCACACAACCTGCTGTCGACCCACAAGGAAGTTTTCGATCCATTTAAGGAACTTGCCACCGATCCCTATTTTTTCAGCTTATGTAAGAGCCTTTGGTGTGGCACAGTGTCGAAAGCCTTCTGGAAGTCCACGAAGGTTATGTGGACCGCGTGCCTGTCGTCGAGAGCTCGGGTCCAGCTCTGGAGAGATTGCAGCAAGTTTGTCGTGCAGGATATCCCTTTTCGGAACCCATGTTGGCATTTCGATAGCAGACCGTGAACTTCCGGGAATTGCATCAGTTCGGTCTTTATGATCCTTTCCACAACTTTGCAGAGAATGCATGTCAAGCTTATGGGCCTGTAATTTGTCGTCGCTGCCCTGTTACCTCCTTTGTGTGGCGGATTAATGTGCGCCAGCTTCCAATCGACAGGAAGTGTTCCAGTGTCAAATGCCGTTTGAAAGAGCATTGACAAAGGCACAGAGAGCTCACTGGCAAGTTCCTTCAGAAGCTTGGGTGGAATCTCGTCTGGTCCTGGCGACTTCAATTCGTTCAATGCCTCTAATTCTCTTCGGACAATGCCTTCTGAGAAGAGTATTTCCCTGACGCTTGGAGTCGGCAGTTCTTCTGTGGAGGGAGGAAGGAACCTTGCCTCGTTTGCGTAGACTGATTGGAAAAACCGTGAAAAATACGCAGCTTTATCCCTACTATCAGCGATCTCAACGCCATCAGTAGTCTTTATCAAGGGGATTTGATGCCTGTTCCTTGTACTACGTCGGAGGTAGCTGTAGAGCAATTTTGGGTTCTGCGTTGCTTTTTGTAGCAAGTTCTTCTCGAATTCCCGCCGCGTCTTCATTATCAGCTTCCTCAGTTTGTTCCTCTGTGTCTTGTAGGTGCTGAAGCATTCAGCTTGTCTAGTCCTGTTGATTTCTTTCTTAAGGTTGCTATTTAGCCACCCAGGGCGTTTGTTCAGTCTTACACCAGTCAGTGGGCAGTGGTTGTTGGTGAGCTGCAGAAGGACATTCTTGAACAGCTCCCAGTCATCGTTGGCGCTTCCCGTAAACAATGAACTCCAGTCGAGACCGGATAAGTCTGCCCTCATCTGATTGAAATCGCCCCGCCAAACATTACGTCTTTTGTTGTCTGGAGTATGTGAAATGGAGAATAACGAATAATCCCACATAAGCACTTCGTGGTCACTTCGGCCAAGGGGCGGCATGGAGGTGACCTCGTCTATGCTGTCTGGTGTTTTCGTAAAGACCAGATCCAGGCAGTTTGCCCTTTGTCCTTCACGTGTTCTCGTTGGGAACATTACATGTTGTGTGAGGCACGCATTTAATGTTTTGCTCAACAGGCGGTAATCAAATGCCGATTTTGGACCTGACGCTTGGAAGGTATTCCAGTTTGTTCCTGGTGCGTTTAAGTCGCCTATGACCATGATGTTGGGTCGATTGAAAAATTTCTCCAATTGCTCCAATAGTTGAGTGTCGGCGATTCGGTCTGTCCTAGGTGGTCAGTAGACAGTGAGGACATAGAGACACGGGGAAGCGGTAGCCTTGATGGTCAACCAGATAGCTTCCGTACTCCATGCAAACTTGGTGGTGTTATCCGACACTGCCAGACCTTCATTCACATACACAACGATACCACCACCCTGACGATGTTCCCTGTCCCTCCGATAAATTTGGTATCCAGGCAAGGCTACTTCGTTATCGCTAATATTCCCGGACAGGCAGCTCTCAGTTACTGTTAAAACATCTGGAGACAGCTCGGCAAGGCAAATTTTTAGTTCGTGTAATCTTGATATGAGGCTTTGGACATTCGTGTACAAGCACCTCAGTTTTGCACCAGCCGAATTTCCCGTTGCATTTGTTACTGCTGTGAGCATTACTCCGTTATCGCGGATGTCGTGTTCTCTAGGCTCTTCCGTTACCTGATTGGTTCCATTTATATGCCTTGTTTCAGTCAGACCACTGGACGCTACGGGCTCACTTGTATTGACGCCTTGATAAGGTGGTTCAACGAAGGTGTCTGTTTTAGCTGAGTAGCTGTCGTCGTTCGTAGTATTACAGGCTAGTTCCACTGAAACGGCATATATTTCCGAACTACCTTCCCCTTGAAGATAGCCAGATTGTGTCAGGTCGTGAAACTCGCTTCCAAGCGAGATGGTGACGGCTGACACAGTTTGTGTGTTTAAAAGAAAACTTGCTAGTCTAGTTTTCGACAGAAATCGGCTTGTACAGCATGACTATGCACAGCCAGTTTTGTAAAATCTGTCATATACAATCTTCCGCACTAATTTACAGTGACCCTATGCACTACCTTATGATTACGATTGAACTGAGACCCAATCACATTTTAAATTCCTGCAATTTTATTTTATTTTTGAGTATGAATCTGCGAAAGCACTGTACATAAATAGGGTCATCAAGGGCTCTGCCTGTAACCCTTCAATATACATACATACATACATACATACCCTTCAGTCTTGATTTTAACTCCAAGACAAGTTCCCGGCGTTTTAACCGTTCCGTTGGTGAATAGTCCGGTTGAAAAAAACCTATTTGTGTTTGTTTCTGAGACCGGTTTTTTAGAGAGGATAAACTTGATTTGCTCTTTGTTCTCCAGCATAATTTGTTTCGGGTGTCTGTTTAGCCAAAAGTTCGCGAATTGATAGTTTGTTTTAAGTTACTAAAACCTCAGTTCTAAGGGAAATTAATAACAAAAGTTTTAAAAAATAACGATATGTACAATATAAGAATTGAAGTTTGCAGTTTGGTAGTTTTTGGGGGCATGAATAATATGTCCTTCATGGCAATTGATGAACTTGGATATCGGCCTGACCTTGAAATTATTTTCTTGTTGGGTAAATTTCGGTGTGCTCTAGTTGTAACGCCCCTTGGCACGAACAGAGATGTTTGAATGTCGTGACACTTTTGGCGCGCGGACCTGGGATGGAGATGGCGTAACTGTGTGCTGGCGAAGACGGCCGGTGTCCCTTCCTTTCGCTACCGCCGACCCTCCTCCCGCAACGAACCGTCGCTCTCGATTCTCTCTCGCTCTCTCACTCAACGTCGGTTCTCCCTCGGCCCTTCCCTGCAGTTGCCCACAGCGCTGCATTCCCTTCGGCTGTTTAGCTAGTATCTCAGGGTCGTCTATCCATCCAGACAGGTCACCTATCCGCTGTTCCTCGTTGCTCGTGTACATTAACATTTGTTATATACATTCTTCATACCAGTTGCTCCATTACGCTATATCCATACTCGACGTACTCTCCTCTTCTGCGTGTGAACGAGTTTCGAGAGATGTTAACAGTTCTGTTCAGGTCTACCTCCTCCAGGATCTCTTCTCGGCGTTTCCTTACTCTGGTGTGTGCTACCCTTGACGTTCTCGGCCGCTACATAGTTGCTGGTTGTCAGTCTACCTGGCCAGCTGTAGGGGGCGGTTGCACAGTTCCTACGTGTTTTTCAGGAGGCTTACCATCGTTGGCTGGACTAAGAGCTGGAAAAGATGGAATATATCAGGAGTAAGAAGCATTCAATGGTAAGTCCCAATCAAAACTGTCAAAATACTATTGAATCGTGTATGATATTTTTCTTGTTCATGTGAAATTATAGGAGCTGTGGTCGACTGTTTACTATAACCTAATATAGTTGTATATATGTTTAATATGGCCTTAATATAGACATATTCACGACTAATATGCAGGGTGTTATCGAAGGGTATATTTTTATTAGCTTCATAAGGGATATTTAGTGTCAGGTGACATAGCTGATGAAAACGAGAAAAGGAAGAAAGGAAGAATATCATTATCTGTTCTATGTTTATCAATGATGCTATCTTTTATAAATTTGATTATTTTTAGTGCTATGTTCCGGTATTTTTCAATCGGCTGGCATCATCAGAGCCCTTTTGGACCAAATTCTATATCAAAGAATTGACTTGAAAAATGTCCTATCGTATTCAAAAATAAATGTGTAGTTTTATTTGAAAGGAATTTCTTAGTTTTTATTTTAAACTCGATTAGGGTTCGACTTTTCCGGATAGAACTTGGAAGAGACTTGCAGATAGTCGCATATCTTATGGAGTAGAAATTTGACCGTTGGGACTTTGTGAATTTGGGAATCCTTATAATATCTTCGTTGTTTCTGGTGTTTCTAGGGGCGTTTTGGTTGGTAAGTAAATTCATTTTGAGAATATCTTGGTCGTGGATGACCTTGAATAGGAAGTTTAGACCATTTGGATGTCTTCTGATCCAGAGGGGTCGAAGACCGTATTTATGATATAGTTCTAAGTATGAACCCTGGATGCCATCACTTCTAGACAAAGATCTAGTAAAACGCCTCTGAATGCCTTCTAGTTTCTTTCGGCCGTCTGAGGGCATTATGCCGAAAAAAAATGAACAGTAATCTAGGAGAGGTAAAACATACATTTGGAAAAGTTGTATTCTTAGTGCATTTAAGGTGAAATTTGTACATATGAATCCACACAGGCGAGTGGCTTTCGGTGATATTTGTTGAACGTGGGGAGATAAATCAAGGATATTTGCATAGCTGAGACCTAAATCTTTTACCGATTGGGCCTCTGTTATTTCATCATCCTCGAATATTATGGGGGAAGTTTTTGTGGGCCAAATATCAGGAGATGGCATTTTTCGGGTGAAAAGGGCATCTGCCACTGACTACTTCATTCGCTGAGTTTTTTGAGATCAGTTTCAATTGCTCTGTGAATGTTAGCTACTGTAATCCCGTTATGTGCATATGCAAGGTTCAGGTCTTCCTCATATAAAAACGTCTTAGCTGATAATGATATGGACATTAAGTCGTGAATATATAGAAGAAATAGAAGGGGGCCTAGGATAGTGCCTTGAAGTACTCCACTGGTAATAGGGGATAGTTCTGAGACGACATTTCGAATTTGCACCACCTGGTATCGGTTTTAAAGATATGATTTAAGAAAATCGAGAAGGGGTGGCCTAATTCCATGACTTTTTAGC